CATTCTTTCTTTTATAAAAGCTCCTTGTTAACCCAAACAACATGTGTAATTCTATCTCAGTAAAGAGTTTTTCTATTATGAACAGGAATACACTATTTAATAGAAGACAACTGAGACAATACTGAATTTGCAGTTCAGTCATTTATATTAGCCACTTTGTTACAGCTTAATTCTGCAATATACAGAATCTCACCAGGGCCTTTATGGTAAAAACAATGTTTTATCCATAATATTCTGGTAAACCAAATATTCATTATTTTTAAACAAAACCACTGCCATGTGGCATAGAGTTTTCTTAGTGTCTGTGAAGTTACAGTGAACTATGCAGTTCAAATTGTAACAGAAAATGAGTTGCAATGGAGAGTACTAGAGTACTCTCTCTCTCTCTTGTACATTGTAGTACAAGACTACAGAGTACTACTTAAGCCTACTCCAATTTCTACTTCCCACCTTAAGTTCAAAAAGGCTAGTCCTTTTTCTTCTGTTCTACTTTGATTAAAAGATCATCCAATACAGATTGGTCCTTTTGTGTGTGTGTGTTATTAGAACGAAAATAAACATTCATCCCTAAACTTTCCCTCCCTCTTCCTTATGCTGTCTGTTCTCCCGCACTCACCGCAGAGCCAGATACTGAGCAGCACAAGGAAAGCAGGATCATCTCTTGCCCATTGGTCCTTTGTCTGTTTTCTGTAGTGAAAGTTCCTGTAAACCCTCTGTGGTGAAGTGAACAGGTAAAGCATCTGCCAAAGCGCAAACTCGAAGTCCATCTGTCGGAAGTGGAAGAGCCTCCGGAGGTACTTGTAGCGTTTTGCTCCGGCCGTGTGCCTCGCAGCATCTCTGCGGCTCAGCACACCATTGCCCTGGCTCCCAGAATTAACCAGCGTGGTTGGCAGCATCTTGCTAAAGAAAGAATTTCAAAAGATGTACTTGATTTTGCACGCAATATAGGGTACAAATAAAATAACGCGATACAGGCCATGGCTGCAATGCTGAAGTGACTAAAACTGAGCACAGGCATGAACAATGACATTGGTTGGAGCAAGTCCAGAGGAGGCCGTGGAGTTGGTAAGAGGGCTGGAGAACCTCCCTTATGAAGACAGGCCGAGAAAGTTGGGGCAGTTCAGCTGAAGAAAAGAAGGTTGTGTGGAGACCTCCTAGCACCTCCCAATATCTGAAGGGGGAAAACAGGGAAGCTGGGACACTTCACCAGGAACTGCAGTGACAGGACAAGGAGTAACGAGCACAAACTGAAATTGGGGAAGTTTAGGTGACGTACAAGGAAGAAATTCTTTACTGTGGAGGGGATGAGGCACTGGCGCAGGCTGCCCATGGAGGTTGTGGACGCCCCAACCCTGCCAGCGTTCAAAGCCAGGTTGGATGGGGCTTAGAACAACCTGGTCTAGTGGGAGATATCCCAACCCACGGCGGGGTGTTGGAACCATATAATCGTTACGGTCTATTCCAGCCCTTACAGTGTACGATTCCATGGCATAGGAGCGGCCCGGCCGCCGCTGCTGACGAACACCCGCCCCCCCTCAGCGGGGCCCGCGCTCAGCTTCGGGCCGGGTAGCGCCGCGCCCCTCGAGCCCCGCCCCGCGCCGAGGGTCTCACCTGCTGCCCCGGGCCGTGGCGCGACCCCCGCCCCGCCCGGCACCGCCACCGCGGCCGCCTCCCGCAGCCTTCCGGCACCGTCCGCGGCGCAGGCGCTCGGGATCCTTCCCGGAGCCGCCCCGTCCCTTCCTGCCCCCGCCGGAAGCGGCCGCAGCGCCCGGGATGGCGGCGGCGGTCGGCGGTGGCCGTGGGGCGGGTGGTAGCGGGGCGTAGCGCCGGGCTCGCCGCCATGCCCAAGTACTACGAGGATAAGGAGGAGGACGGGCGCGCCTGCAGCGGCGTGAGGGAGGACCTGCGGCAGTGCCTGCTGGAGAGCCCCTGCGTCCTGCAGGTGAGCGCCGCTGCCCTTCCGGCCCAGAGACCCGCAGGTCGCCCTTCTTGGGCCTCTTACCTCTTGTTTCCAGCAGTTTAGGGAATTACAGCTCCAGAGGAGAGCACAGGTCACCGTACCGAAGAGAAATCCCCAGTCTGAAGTTGACAGTAAATGATCCTCAAAGGCCCCTTCCAACCCATATTACTCAGTCGGCCAGCGCGTGGTGCTAATAACGTGGTCATGGGTCCGATCCCTGTATTGGCCTTCCCCTAAGAGTTGGGCTGGATGATCCTTGTGGGTGCTTTCCAACTCAGAATATTCGGTGATTCTGTTCTATAATTCTGTCAAGTGTTTTGATGTCTCTTTGATGAGCTGTAGAAATCAGATTTTTAATCTTTCATTTTTCATCTACTAGGAAAACAAAAGCCCTAAACAATGCTTGAGGGAAGGACACTGTAGGAGTTTGCAAGTGACATTCTTTGCGTGCAAAAGATCAATGGTAAGTGCGGTGTGTCTTCTGCTACAGGCCTGGGTGTTTCCCGTCCTTTTCCCTCTCTTTTTAAGAAAAACACTGTTATTTCAGTAATTAATTTCATTAAGCAGGCTCTTGCATTTGAATTCTGATTAAACTATGGGTGTTGTACTCAGTTCTCATGAAGAAGAAGCTGTAGAGTAGGAAAAAGTGGAAAAACGTGTTTAAATTGGGTTAGGCTTAGAATGTCACAGGTAGTGATGTAGATATTTTCACTATTGTTTTTAGTAAAGTTTTGGGTTAAAAAATATTAGTAGATCAGGTAATTGTAAGCTTAAATATCAGCAAGATACCGTTTACCTGTAAGATCTTTGAAAAACATCTATATAGTGAACATTTAAATGAAGTGAAGTAAAACTTTCACTGTTAAAGTAGGATCTTGCATTGAATTCATGTCGAGTCATTAGTTTTCTTGGAATACTAGAATTCATGATAAATGACAGTTTATTTTTTAATATAATGAGCTATCTCATATGGAAATGACAAGTCATTGTCAAATGTAATTTGTAAACAGTAATTACAAATGTAATTAGATAAAGTTTTCTGTATTTTGATAGGAGCTCCTTGTCCAGGATTTTTTTGCTTGTGTTTCCATAACATTTAAAACATATTAAAGATGTGGTAAAGATGGTATTAAAACTTTCCAAACATGAGAAGTGCAGGGCTCATTTTTATTTTTATCTGATGAAGAGTGTACAACTGAAATGGTACTCTAAATTTCTCTTCCATTTTGTATTCATTGTAGCAACCTTTTGTACCTCTTCTATATGAACCGTATTAATCCATGAAGTTACAAATTATTATTTCTGTGTGTGGGAAGATGCTGTATATTGGAAGTCTGAAATGTCTATATAAAACTGCAGTAGTGACATATGTGTCTCCAGGTGATGTGTCTATATTTTTCTGTCTGTGGATTGTTAAGGGAGCCTGATGAAACTAAGTTTCTAGCTAAATGCCTCCAGTCATGCAGGAAGAGGCTTGGCTCTTAAATGATTTTATTTAACTCTCCCAAATTTTAAGGCTGATGAGTGACATTTTTCTTGTCCTCTTAATTCTTTAAATTTCGATAATCATGCTCAGTCAAACTTGTTATTTGTTATAATAATGAAATTTAAAGATTATCCAAAACCTAGGTAGATACTAAATACAGATATAATTTGCAGTATGCTAAAATCCTCAGTTTTGCCTCAATGCTGTTTTCTTTTCAAGGAAACAGAAAATCTTATCAGAGATGTTGAAGTAGGGCCAAGGTTTAAAGTGAAAGCTGCTTGGTTACTGGACAAGCTGTGTCATCATGACTCTAGCTCTTTACAAATTTTGCTGCTGTCCTGAATTCTGGGAGAAGGTTAGTTAATGGTAGTGAAAGAAACCTCCTCAGTCTAATAGAATATGGCTGAGTTGCAATCTGTCACTGCCATATTCAAGACTGACTAAGTTGAGAATAATTCTCCCAAGATCAAAGTATGTTTTTCTGCTGCATTGGAAAAAAACTTGCAGTTTAGCTTCTGTAAGTGATGCACTGTGGCTTTTATTTTAGCTTTACCATCTTCTTTAGCCTGTCATTAAATGTTTTTTTTGTAATTGCCAAGAACAAACTTGCAGATTTACAAACTGAATATTGTTTCTGTTTTTACTGATTTATTTCTAGTTTTTTTCCAGAAACTTAGTGTATTTAAGTTATCCTCTCTCCTCACAGACATTTGTAGTCACTCTTACTTCAACCAGATCTGAATTTTCCTCCTCCAGTTTATCAGTACATTTGCAAAACTGATCTAAGCAGATTTACTCTACCTTGTTTTTTATGTGTTCCTTGCCATCCTACTGTGCTGTTCTATCATTTATGTTGTTTATTTCAGAACACGTAGGGCACTTAACACATAATTTTAGTTTTGTGTGAGGTTTAAGATCATATAATGCCTCTTTCATTGGAATCCCCAGTGGCTTGTTGGCTACATCACTGGTTTTCTTCTGCTTTATTCTGGCCTTTGTTCTGATGTTGCAAAGTGCCGACACTCTACAATATCTCTTTTGGAAAATACCTGCTCTTAATATATTGTCTTCAATTTTCAGTTGGATACCAGGGCAAGATTCAGAGGAAGGAAGGGATACTGAAGTCCTCATCAAGAGACCTTGCCATGGAAATTCAGGGTTCATCAGCTCTCTACACAAAACAGAGACTAAAATAAGAAGATGGTACCTGCTGCATCATTTCCTGCAGTGTTCTCATGGAAGGTATCTACTCCTGAGTATCCCAACAGATTGACCTGGATGTGCATTTAAATGTTAAAAAGAAGGCAAGCATAAAGCTACAAGTTCTGGCCAAAATGAGTACCTGTCATGTACTTGCAATAAAAATGTGAAATCCAGAAAAAGCTGCAGAAGTTGTAATTCTGTTTTGAAGTAAAGTTGTCATTTGTGACTCTACTGTAAATTCTGATAATCTTTTACTATTATAAATAATACAAGGTATGGAACTGGGAGTTCGCTTGATGTGTTGAGGAGGAGTTTCCTTAGCAGATGAGTATCTCAGAGGGTTTTTCAAAATAAAACTATTTTCAGAGACAAGGAGTTGACCAAGGTTATAAAATGTGTGTGCAAGCTGCTTCCTGTCCAGTAAATTTGCTACCCAATAAACCTCTAATAGATGGGATTGGTGCTGTTTTTCAGTCCCACACTGCTAAGGAAGTGGGATTTATGGGAGTAAGAAGCATTAAATAGTGCTTAAACCATGACTGTGGTAAATGTTAACTGGTTCTGTATAAGACTTGCTTTTCCAGAGGAACATTTCCTTTTTCTTCCTTCAGTGTGTCCCCACCTCTTTAAGTGTCAAACCTTTAAGAAATAAATGGTGTTGTAACTCTTACATGTGGAAACTCAAATCAGACTAGCCGATTAGAAGCAAGATGAGGAAATAGTGAGAGGGGAGAGAGCCATAGTAAATTCTTTTCTTGGCTGAATTTATAGCCAAGTGTCTGATACACATTCAGTCTGAACAGATGTATGCAATGCTTTTTGTTTCTAAAACTGATGACTTCAGTGATTGAGCACATGTTGACTATTTAATTTTGTCTCTCTTAAGCAACTGTTCTGTAGTGAGTCAGAGAATGTTTGTATTCCTTGTGTGTGTAGGACTTTATTTTACCTAAATTAACTCTGATTTCACATTTTTGTGTTCTGTTGATCATGTGGAAGCTAGTTCATTTGTTCAAGTGCTGTAAGCATCCTTTGTTTTCCACAGCCTACTTACCATATTATCTTTTTACATGCACTAAAATGATGATTTATGTCTGTAAGAGTATTTTTATCTTAACACTCTAATTCCAAAGTATTGCTCACAAGCCTTTTCCATGGGGAAAAACAAAAAAGGTACTAAAAATAAATATAAAGCCAGATGGCAGGTATTTAGATGTCAGTTGGAGAGAGGAGTGGGAATGGTATGTGAGTTTGGTAGTCAAGGACTCTTTCATGGTATGTCCTAATGCATGGGTTTGTAGGTTGATTGTTCAAGTGATCTTTGTTCCTTTCTCAGCCATAATCACTAAGCCTCTCCTGTTGGTGCTGCAGCAACTCCTTTTGGAAGGGAGCAATAACATTGCTACATCATAGACAGACACATAGTTATTTCTAGTAATCAGCTTGATCCAGTGGAGATCAAGTGTTAAAATGAAATCTATTGGATATTCATGGATTTAATAATTAACAGAACACATGTATTATTTGATCCAATAGAATGTTAGTGTCAAAACTTCCTAATGGTTCACTAAACTACCTAGGACAGTATGAAAATACTGTAACAGGAATCAAAATACTGATTTGCTCAAGAGACTTATTCAATTCCAATATTGTGTAACATAATACTCTATCTAAAGATAAGTAATTATATAATTGTCTTGGGACTTTGAGCACTGACCTACTCGAGAGATATTAATGCTCCTTTGAGAAAAATAATTCATTTCATTAATGCCCTAAGTCCTATGCATTTGATTACAGCTTTTTCCCTAATGCACAAAATGTTTTTATTTAAATATATTGATGTTTTTGTTTCATGCCTTGTGCTACATTACTGACTTTTACTAAAACAAATGCATGTTTCTAGTCTTTGGTAGATTTTGCAAGAGGGGATTTCTGAAATTGAGTTGTTGAGGCCCAATGGTTGGCATGGTGCCAAAAGGCTAATACTAGCTTCAGAATCCCAAATATAAGCAGTGCTAATAATTTGTGTTGAATAAGTAAAGAACAGAGTTTGCAAGGACCTCCCCGCTGCTCTCATTCCTCTCATTCGTTTTCCATGATGGAGAGTCAGAGGGTGCTAAATGCTGCCGAGACTGATGTCCCTGGCTGTGGCTCTGTCAGTGTTAGGGCGTGTGTGTGTTACAACATGCTGCTTCAGCAACTTAAATGTTCTCTCTGTGGTCCAATCCTGCAAACATGGTTCTATTTACAGAGCTGTAAGCACACATTGCAGAACTGCTCACATGTTTATGATGATAAAAAATAGGCTGTGGTCATTTACTCTGAAAATTCTTTAGGCTGTTAATTGTTGTTTCAAGTCACTACAGAGTGATAAGCATATGAGTCTGTTCAACGAAGGCCCATGTGTACGTACCTTGAAAAGTGAGAGAAAGGGGTTGGTGTTTAAAGAGTATCACACGTCTAGAATATAAGATGTGCCTCTCAGAAGCAAAGACAAAGTATCTTTATGAAGCCCTCACTTTTGAAATATTTTCTGCACGCAGACTGGGTGCATTTGTATTATAAAGGGCTTCACTATTCACTGGGTGGCATAAAGAATTTGTTGTCTAGTCTCTCTTCACTTCTTCAAGTTTCTGGAGTAGCAGGTTGGATGAGATGCTTTTTTTCAAAGAAAACATTTAAAATTATATGTTTTCAGTGAAAGCCTGGAACAAACTAGATTGACACCTTCTACTCATAAGAGCAGCATTAAATGAAGTCATTATCTAAAAATGCAGCCACAGAATGTAGGTGGTAAGCAATATCTGTTGTTCAAGCCTGTGGTTAGAAAATTTACAAATACAGAACTGTAGCAGTTTTGTTAACGTGATGAATTTTATGCTGCCTTGTTATGTGGTCATTTAGAATATGTGTATTTATTGTAAATATGTTTCTTGTCTAAAGCTGAAGAGCACAACAGCTTAATTCCAGTCATAAGTTGTAGTTGACAGAATAATAGCCAGAAACCTCAAGATCATTTCTCATTTTTCTTTTTCCAAATCTGCCTGCTGAATTTTCTGTCTCTGGCATGATTTTATTGCAGATATCTTCAGAAAATCATTGACTGGTTATTTCTGTAAGTTGCACACTTCACAATTACTTGGTTGACAGTCTGTAGGGAGAAAATTCTGTAAACATAGAGAGCAGCTTCTTGAAGTGGACTGTGCTTTATTTTCAGGACTTCCTGAAGGTTCATTTATAATGTTCTTGAACACTGAAAACGGAAGAAGCAAAAAGGTTAGCATTTTAACAGTTGCTTAATTAGGTCAGTAGAAGGTGATATATTTCAAGTAATGATGTATTTTAGTAGCTGAACATTGGAAATATATTTTTGTATCAAGCTGAGATTGGTGTGTCCTTATGGAAGCTTTCATATGCAATATTCTTTTTTGGCTAGCCTATAGGTACTAATGGGCTGCAGTGAAATAGAATGGAATAATTTCCCTAAAAATTTTTTAGTAACAGAGGAAATGATACAAGTAAATCTCTGTGACCTAGAACAGGATTTTAAAAATCTACAATATTGCTACTATTGCTTTAAAAGGAGCCATGGAAAAATAGCAAAGCAGAAATTGGCTCATAATTCATAAGTTCTAATGATAAATTGTGCTACTGTAAAATTGTGTTGTCTTATCTTTCATTACCACTGCAAGGAAGAGGAATATGAACATTTCGTAGTCAATTTGTGATGTGACAGGAACTTTTGAGGTTTTTTTGGTGGGGAAAGTTTTGAAGTCTTTCTGAGGTCAAAAAGGTCTAGTATTTATTAGCTGTTTTCTCAAGCTTTTGGTTCTGTAGCAGCTGTACCTCACTAAGGTTCATAGCAGGATGATTTCTGGAGCTCCGAATGGGAAGAAATCTGTTACAAGTTGTTGGATTGTTGGCATGCTGAGGAAGATGAGAGTAAATAGTGCATTGAGGGGATTGATTATTGGATATGTAAAAATTTGTGTTGCTCAATTTGTGGGCAAAAACTCCATATAACCCTTTATCAGCTGAGACTGGACATTCAGGTCCCTTCCTGCTTTATATTAGTAGTTAAGGAAAGGCACCTTTTATCTAGTCTGACTTTCTGTGAAGCTTTTTATGGCATCAGCTCTTGAAAATGGCATAAAATCTGATTATGTTTTCTCTTGATAGAATATTTCAATAGCCAGTAATCCCTCTGTAGAAAGAGCATGTCTGTCTTATGATTAGAATTTGACTTCAGTTTTTACTTCTGGGAGAAGAAGAAAGGATGACTCTTCAAAGAGTTTAGTAGTATCTTATGCTTTCCTGCTGTAATGCATTTGAAAGTTAAAAAATCGAAAAGAAAAAGATGCAATGAAATGCGTGGATTGACTTCCCAAACTTGTGACTTGTGTTATACCTGTCTTCCTTAGTCCCATCACAGGGGGGAAATTTGCAATCTTCTTTTAGGAAGGAGATAAACCTCTATTACTGATTTTTTCATTGATCTCTGTACAGGTAAAACCCCTGCTTTCTTTTTACACTATTGATTGTGCTTCCAAGATGAGTGTCACATTTTGTCACTTAACACACCGTGTTGAGATCTTGTGTTCAATTCCCTGTCCCTTTTGACCCTGATGCCTTTTTCAGAGTCAGTAGTTTTTCACTCTGATGTTTTCCCAGTGTATGGCTTGTTTTTCCAGGGTGTAGCTTTTTGTTCTTTTCCTGGATTTATAACCTGACATGTGGCCATTGAAGAATAATAGAAGTTTTGAACAGCATGCTTTATCATCTGTTCCAGAACTTGTATGTGATGGCCCAGTTCTCTTGTTCACCACTGTCAGGTGTTGGGTTGTCCACAAATACAATTGGCAGTGAGTTTATATGTATGTACACACCTTTGAAGAAAACGTGAAATAATTTTAAAGCTGGTAATGGTCCCAGAGCAGCTCTCTAAGTACTCTACTGAAATACAACTCCCCTCTATTTGTGAGGTTTTGTTACATATAGATTAGGAAAACATAATCTAACAAAAAATTAAATAAATGGAAAACCTCTCAAGCATACCCATTCCTAGCTTGCTGGATTTTCTTGTATTTTGCCCTGGGTAATTCAGACTGCTCTGCCCACAAATAACATGGTGATTTTCCACATCCTCCAACACTGGTGCAATGTGAAGCCCTTCTGGTCCCTTGGGTTTTAGTGCTGTTTTGATTCCCTAATACTAAATGAATGTCAATATTATCAAATGAACAAAATCAAATACTAAATGAATATCAATAGTAAACCTTGTTCTTCCAGAGTCCTTGGTGGGGAGCTGTCCAAGTCTGCTGTTTACAAAGGTAGTACTTTGGTTGATGATGATTAATAATGTCATCAGCTGTAAATAAACTCTTGATTTTTTTTTTTTGTCAGGATCTGTATTTAATTTGAAAGGTGCTAGTGACAAGATCTACTTGCTTTCCAGCTTGTTTTCACCAAGTATATTAAATATTTTTATGCAAGGATGGCTTTAAGTTTGCATGGTATGCAGAAGAACTCTTATTTTCTGTCTCTTTGCTAAAAAATGTGGCAGGGTTCATTAGCTTTATGCTAAATGATGGGCAAGGGTAAATGTAAAAAATTATGCATGTTTGACTATGCATTAAAAACACCTCCTCTCTATAAATTCTGTGTGATTTTGAAGCAGGGAGTCCTTCATGGCATTTCACCAATGACATGCAGAAAGAAAAATGAAAAATTCAATCTGCCTCTCCTAGCTTCTCTATCCCAGCTTAGATTATACTGGGGACTTCAGCTGGCAGCTTCCAGCATGAGGGAACTGCAACAGGCAAATTAAAATTCTTACTCTAGAGCAGCGTTGGGACTGACTCAGCTGGTTCTTGGCAGCAGTCCTCTGCAGGTCATGCCCAGCTGGCTGGAGGCATCCAGACAAGTGTGTCTATGGCTCACTGATTCCCCACTTCAGAGTCTTTCCCCCTAACCTCCCTCCTGGGAGCTCCCACAAGGTAACTTGTTAGTAACCTGTGTTACACAAAAGCACATGGCTTTTGTGCACCATGTAAAAATAACAGAATGAGCCAGAGCTGGACTTTGACCACTTCCTACATTCTTTCAAATGGCTCTTAATGTTGCCTGAGCACTATAAATCCCTCATTGATAATAGTGGGATACAGAAATTGGTTAAGAAATGGAACCCAGCCTCGGGCTACACAGCAATTTCATCACATGCATGTGAGTGAGACAGCTATCAAACAACTTCCGTTGTGGAGAATGATGGAGGGATGGATGGATGGATGGATGGATGGATGGATGGATGGATGGATGGATGGATGGATGGTGGAAACATGCTAAAATGTACCAGTGTGAGCAGCAAGACTAGGGAAGTAATTCTTCCCTTGTACTCCACACAGGTGAGGTCACACCTTGAGTACTATGTCCAGTTTTGGGCCCCTCAATTCAAGAAAAGCAATGAGGTGCTGGAGCACGTCCAGAGAAGGGCAATGGAGCTGGTGAAGGGTGTGGAACACAAGTCCTGTGAGGAGCAACTGAGGGAGCTGGGGCTGTTTAGCCTGGAGAAAAGGGACCTCGGGGGTGACCTCGGTGCTCTCTACAGCCACCTGAAAAGAGGCTGTAGCTGGGTGGGAGTTCGCCTCTACCCTCAGGCAACCAGCGACAGGACAAAAGGACGTAGTGATAAGCTGGGCATGGGGAAATTTAGTTTGGACATTAGGAAGAATTTCTTCTGTCTCTGGTGCTTAACTGCAGATGAAGATACAAGACAATTCTAGTTTCTATATTTTTGGATCCTCCGGAGCCCGCGCGGGCAGCCCGAAGCGCTGCCGTTCCAGGAGGGACGGGCGGGCGATGCCGGCCCGGCTGAGGCCGCAGGGGGCCGGGCCAGGGCCGGGGCGGGGCCGCCGCTCCCGGCGCCGTCAGAGCGGGCGGGCGCCGGAGCCGCTGGGGGCGCGGGGCCGGTGGCTGCCGCGGGGCGGTGCCCGGCGAGCCGCGGCTGCGGAGGTGAGCGATGGGCGCCGGCCGCGGAGCGGGGGGCAGCGGGAGAAGGCGCGGGGCGAGCGCCGAGCGCGGCGGGGTCGTGCAGCTGCGGCGGGAGGCGGCCCCGCGCCGGGCAGGCATGGCCGAGCCCCCATCTTGGGGAGGCCCTGCCCGCCCGGTTCGGTCGCCGGCGCTGTCACGGGCAGCGCTGCCGGCTCTGTCCTTGCGCGCTCGGCCCTCGCTGTGGCTCGTCCCGAGCCGTGCCGGGCTGCGGCGGTGCGCGGAAACAGCGTGTGTGGAAGGGACAGCGCGTAAACAGCCGCCGCCTCCGGGGGGACGCGGGAGCGAGACAGCGAACATAGGGATGATGTTTAACCTCCCCTAATTTATTACAGGCCGGGCTTCACGATTCCTTTTCCATGTTGAGAAGCCTTAAAAGGAAGCAGATTGTGTGTTTAGTTTGGTGCATATTTCAGATTTTTGCCTATTTATTGAGCTGGAATATGGTTGTGAAATATGGTAGAAATGCCTTTGCAGTACTGATGCACCATCATCCGTCTTATGTGGGTTTCGCGGAGCAGCGCTAAGAATGAACTTGAAGCTTTAGCCCAGTGGCATACATTCCCCCCATACCATGAGTAAAGTCAATATATGCTGATCAGAGCCCAGTTTGGACTGCAGAGACACTAGAGAGGATTTTGCCTGCGTGGTCCAGCACGGTGTTGACAGAAGCCCTCCCTCCGCAGGCCGGTATCATCCTTCTGCAGAAGCCTCTGCTGTTGAGCTTGTCCAGGCTGGCAGTAGAGACCCAGCTGGGAGGGTCTTGCTGGGTTACTTCTTAAGCAACAAGAGGCAGAGACTCATCTTTGTCTCTGCCCTCAAATTCTAGAAAACCCTGTTGTGATGAAAATAAGATTACTTTGCAGTTTCTCACTGCAGAACTACTGTTTGCTAATGCTTTTCACAAGAGCTCTTAATTAAAAGCTTATAAGTTTTTCTTCCTGCTTCTGAAGATCTTAATTCAGTGGACCGCCTTGCTTCTAGGAACTCAGAGAATGCAGTATCTTGCCAATTTTTTCACAAGTATCTCTGACTCTCTTATGCAAATGTTAGGTGGGAGCAAATGGCGGGGGGTGCATATGTATTTTTGGCAGGAACTTGACATTCAGTGTTCTTAAATTTAGAAGTTCTGGCACTTTCAAACTTTGAGGTGGATGTGACCTCTTTTACTCACTGTTCCCTGCTGCAGTACTAAGTTGATAGCAAATCATGATTTCAGTGCTGTTTTCAAGTATCTAAGTATCTGTATCCAGGCTGTATATATTTTGCTAGATACATTTGCTTCTGATTTAATTTATTTTTAATGAGCTAATTTTAACTTAATCTGTAGTGGGTGGTAGCTTGCAGGGAGCCATGGAGAAACAAAGAACCCTGCCAAAGTGTGGCAAAAGAACCATGTGATCTTCAGAGGGTGTTGGGCTCCCTTACTGAAGACAATGATAACACCTCTGCAGAAACTTGCTTATTTTACATCTGTCTAATTTGCTGTCAGTTGAGACTGAAGGCTGTACCCCTTCTCAGGTAGCAGAATTTTCAGTCTTAAGGTCTCAGATATATTGAGGGTTGGATGTCATTAATCATCTCTCAGATCTGTTCAAGTCCAGTCTGATTGTACCGATGCTGTATTAAATAGAGGTTCTCTCTGTGACCTGACTGCTAGGAGAAATGATTGCTTTGTTTCCTGTATGTTCTGGTTCCTTAGTCTATGTATTATTTTACTAGAATTAGGAAAGAAAATGAGAAGGCCAAGGATCCCCTTTCGGTTCTTGTTTCCTTGTTAAGATTTAATTCAGGCTTTTGGGCTGTGCTCGCTAAAGCAAATTTTAATTGCCCAATTGCTTGTGTGTATGATGCACTGTTAGAATATGATACATTTAGAACCCCCTTTGTAGATATCTCTGTTGGAAAAAAACCCATTTCTTGACTGGATATGAAGAGCATTTGCCTGGCTCGGACATAATATTTGAAACCTCTACCTGTTGTATTTGAAGAGAGATGGGAGATCAAATAATACAGGCAGCACAGCTCAGAGCTCTGTCTTACACGTTCTTTGCTTCTGCTTGCTACTTCCCTTCCTGTTTCTTGTCTGATAAACTGAATTTCCTCTCCATTGTTGGATCATCTACCTAAATCTCAAACAGACATCCTTTGCAGAAACATTGCTGAAAAATGTTGTTGACCTTGGAAGAAGAAAGCTTTAGGGTGTATCTACTTCATGCACATCTGTCAGGCAGATAGGCATAGACTCAAAAGTATTTAAATCACACCTATTGCTGCTTTATCTAATACAGCAAGCTCTTTTCTACAGATGAAGTTGATTCTTCTGGCTCTCAGATAGAAGGTGGCATTTCCCTTTTCTGCTTCACAGGCACCTCCTGCTACCGCTGCCTTCCTTCCTTTGCTTCCTGTGTTCTGTTCTCCGCAGTGCTTTGCTTGCTGTGGGAAGTGTCACCACAGGCTGGTGGCACGTGAGGCAAAACCATGTCACAATCAAGACAAAGCAGGTCGACAATGAGGAGCAAATCAATTGAAGTACAGAAAATGACAGGAACATTGTCAATTCAGGGCATGACTGAGAGGAGGGCATGTCTTGACTGCACAGGGGAGTGGTAGGGTCATAGTCTTTGTGGTTTGTGTTGTACACGGTAAGGGAGGTATCCAGGAGATAAGGCAAACACTCCAGGCTTTCCTGGCAATTACTGCTCTCTTTTCCCTGTTCCATGAAGTTAATGACATTGCCTGAGCCAACACAGGTGGACATTGTGCTTCTGTCAGCACATCAATCCAGCCACTTTGGTCTCTCACAGAGGAAAGGCAGGTGCCAGTACTATAGAAATATATTAGCGTTTCCCGAAAACAGTATTTGAAGCTTGCAGTGAAGTATATTCACTCACCAAGAGGGCTGTTTCTGGACTTCCACTGAGTGTGAAATTCTTGAATTTATGATGATTTTACCAAATATGCAATAAATAGTGAACTGGAAAATTGAAATACCAAGGTACATCCTAACTTAGCTAAAACCATCTTGATGATATATGAGAGAGTAACGTAATTTTCCCCCAAATTTCCAGGCAAGTTGGGATCTTGACCTTAGGTGAGGAAGACTTTCTGTCCAGCTTGTAGAATGTGACCAAAGATTTCTCTGCAACAGAGGTTTGTAAATGTGTGTCAGTATTCACTGAAAATACTCATTATGTGAGTAATGTATCTCACAGCAGTGAGATACTGCGAAGACCTTGTATGAAACCAGCAGGATATTTTCAAAAAAGCATTGACATTCTTGAGCTGTTACATTTAGACCTGGCCCACTTGTGCCCTTCAATGTTCTTGTATATCTCACAAATGCCTGCATCTTGTTTGTGCATCTGCTGCTGTGGTGTGCTGACAGAGAAGCCTGTTGTGTGTGAGTTGCTTCTCTCTAAATACAGCTGTGTTCTTCCAGTTTGCTGCAGACAGAGCAGATTACCTCCTTGTGAAGGAGGTAACCAAGTGAGGTGAAAGGGATAGCATAGGAGAAAAGGAGTGGGGATATAGAGGAGGGATGTGAAGGGAAATGAGTGTAGAGGATAAGACAGTACAGGAAGGAGGACAGATAGAGATAGGAAAAATTCATCCAGTATGTTTCTCACCAAGGTTTTGTAGCATTTTCCAGTGGAGCACTTTGGAGCTGTAATTTCTGAAAAAAATCTGGACGTATCCCAAACCTGTATCTAGCTGGGGTGTGCTTGGGGGGGATGCAACAGCAGGGGCTGGGCTTTATGGCTGGGCTTCCCTGGCAAATGCATCCTGAATCTGAGCATATGGGAAGCAAGTGGAGCCATGTCACTCTGAGTGAGAACCTGCAGACAGAGGCCTGCTACAAGGTTTGTGTGCTGCTAACTCCCATTGCTAGGTAAGATGTTTTAGAGCTGTTGGGGCCATCAGCTCTCACAGGCACGGGTATTTTAATCTTCCTTAACAAAATAATATGTGTTACCATGCATCTAAACTTTTAGAAGAATAATTATTCTTCCTACTGTATGACTAATTATAGGAAGCATGTATGTACAGATGTTGCAAATCTTTGGAAACAGCACACTTCAATTCCTTGGGACAGTTTATTGTTAAGGTACCCTTACTGCAGTGTTGCAAACCATGCAGAATCCTGCAACTATAACCAGTTCCTGTGAATGCCTCTGCACATGCTCAGTTCCCACCTTCTATGCAAGGCCTAAGAAGCCCAGATTAAACTCTGTGCTTGAAAAACTGTTTTACCTGGCTCTACTCTGTTGTATCACTGAGTTTTCTCTAAGTTCCTTCCAGCAAAATGAAATGTGATTAGAAGGAATTTGATACCTGGATTTTCTCCTTGCCATGAGTAAAACAAGTCTCTAAGGTGGAAATTACAGCTAGGAGTGGACACACAGAGATTTGATGAGAATTTGTTCTTCCACTCATTCTCTTTTGTTAAATCTATTTGTATTGCAATGCAGTGCTGGGTTTACTGCTAAGGTTAGCCATTGGATCTTTCTATAATTCCTGTTTGTGTTTGGTTCAAGTCCTAACCCTTGGCAGTCTGAAGCTTGGATTCAAACTTAAGAAGAATTTTTAAATGATTGTCCTGTCTTTAAGAGTTACAATAACACTTCAGAATGAAATGACTTTGTATCAGGTATTTTAAAAATACTTGGCCTGCTTGGAGTCTCTTCAGTTCTTTTTCCAGCTCTTTCTCTACATTTTTTCTGTGATGACCAGTGTTAAGAGAATAATTTTTCATAGTTTGCTAAGCCTCTAATTTTTCACAGTTCTCTTTCAAAAACCAACCTGGGAGTGGGGATGGTGTTTGTGTTGTGATAAATAGAGTAACTATTGATCTCTAAAAATGTCTAAAGATTTAAATTTTTTTAATTTTCCCCCTTACCCACCTACATTTTCTCTTGCAAGTAACAATTCTTTCAATCATGTAGCTACTTTTTACCTTCATTAGGCTGGAAACTACTGCCTCCCACAGCAGGGCAGGTGGAATGAAATGTGTCCCTACGCTTCAGCAACTTCAGTGCAAAGTTCAGTGGCTTGATTTAAAATGTTGGCTTGACATTTCTGAAGAGTGTTCACTGGATCTGGTCCATTGACTTTGCTTGGGAGGCTGTAAACTTGAACAGCAGTGTGGTAATATGTTCAGTCACCAGAGCTACTTGCTGAGCTCTTAGTGACATTTTTCTGTTATATTTTTTACCAGAAAGTGCTCAGTGCTAGTACACTGTTAATTCTGATAACAGTTTTGTAAATATCAAAACTTACTGTACATTGCATAATTTTTTTTAAAAAGGTCCCACATGTTGTTTTGTGGAAGATGCTACACGTAAAATGTAAAATCTGGCATAAGTCTTCCTGTCCAAGTCCAGAAGTCTGTAGAACATTTCTCAGCATTTCCATTTTTGAGAATAGACATTATCTGCACAAGAGAATTATCTCTTGGCTTACAGCTTTTATGGGTCACTTTTTAAAGTTCAGAATTGTACAGTATCACACAGACAGTTATAGCAACAATTAATATGATACCAGTAGATACTAATTTCAGTAGAAAAGCCTTATAAATATTTTTTATATATGTATGTTTAAAAGATGGTGTCACAGCTAGAAGCCTTTGGCCTGTTACACTTAACTCCCTGTGGGCTCACAAACTTGCTTTGTTGTCCAGTCACATATTTCTATGAACATGGATGAACACAGTCCTCAAGGTTTTGCAGTGATCATAACTTCTACTCCCAAAGTGTGGGTGGACCACCCATCATTATTCCTGAGACTGGGAGAGGTGTTTGGAACTGGTTCCCTGCCATAATGGAAAGCAATGCTGTTCCATATAAATGTGACAGTTCAGAGGCATGAATAGAGGATTTTATACTGCAAATGACCCACACTGCTGTCAAAAGAGCTGTCTTAAAAGAGCAATCTATGTAGCCACAGTTTAGCCTTGTGGATTCCAATGATGCTAAATCTTTAGTTAGATGATCTACTTTTCTCTTGCTGTGTTTAGTGCACAGGAGGGGTCTAATCTGGGGATGAACTGTTCTGATGGGGATGAACTCACTGTGACTATCAGTGAGTGTAACAGCTTTATTTGTTGCAGAAATTGGAAGTTGTACAGCCTTCAAAGCAAGAGATTAAAGGAAGAGGAGGACGAAATTGTTTTTTTAATTGAGAGCTGCATCCTTCCAGAGGCCTGTGACACAACCCTACCACTCCTCAGAGTTTCTGTGTGGTGCAAGGCAAGTCTGAAAATTTTCCTTTTGCCATTGGTTAGTACAATATTTCTCAGATTTTGTGTGCCTGATTTAAGATCTGGTTTCAGTTTCATAGAACATCTAACCCCTCCCATATATTACTGCATATATTATATAAAAGGCTGCATAATTGCAATGTTGAATCATGGGAGTCTTGACCCAAACTAGTCAGTACTTTATTCTTTCTGCTGGTTCTCCCTGGAAATCTGTGTCCAGTATCTCTCCCATTCTGAGATGGTTCCCAGCCTCCTTGCACTAGTTTAGACTGCTCCCTTTGGTTATTCTCCTTATGCTACTTATCCCATCTCTTTGGTCTGCTCATTTTTGGCAATTTCCCAGCTCTTTACTGCAAAGATTCCTCTCAGCCAAGATGTTTCTGACTTTATTTCTGGCTCCAAACATCAGTCCTGGTCTTCTGACAACTTGCCAGTATTGCTCTTCAGTTACTTTTTCTGCTCCTTTGGTTTGGCCATTTTTACCTGTGTTTTTGAATTTGATATTTCTTTCTTATCCCTGAAGGCTTGTTGTAGAAATACAGGTTCTGTTGGCCAAGTTCAATATTTAGCCAAATGTTCAATGATTATTATGAGGCACTGTCTTCTGAACCTCTTGGGGTGCCTGTAAGACAGTGCATGTGCAGCTATGATACCTGTGGAAATCAAGAGTGCTCATTATTTTGGCATCTTTGGAGATTTTAGTTGTGAATTAACCTCTACTGGATCTGTGTTTACTGTGACTTTTTAAAGGATTACAATAGAAAGGAAATACTTACAGTTGGTTGTTTTTGGTTTCTTTTCATATTATGCAAAATATTTTTTCTTTAGACCTTACTCTTGGTACCAACTGAACTGTTTGAGCTGAAACTGATGATTGTTCTTTAAAAACCAGTCTGAGACAAACACTCAGCATGAAAAATTTCTGGGCACACACTTTGGAAAAATGTAAGCAAGTGAAAAGAATAGTCATTTAAGAAGTGGTGTTGAGCAGGTGTAGTTACAGGCTCAGATGCTACTGGTCCCACCTTCTGATTGCTCCTCTTGTGCTGAACAATTAGAAAGTGCTTTACAAACTGTTCATTCACTTCATGGGAGCCTGTGTATCCCAGCTGTTGTTCAGTGGCATGGCAGTATAATGTTTGACATGCAATTGCATATAAGAGGTTTTTAAAATAGTGTGGGACTAGTGATGGCATTTAAGTGACTTGGCCATTAGAAAAATAGGGGAAATCTTGTGTTAAGGAGGAACTGCTTTCACTGTAAACAGACATTTTCCTTCTCTTCCCCTTTAGGTAAGAATAGTGGAAATGTTGAAGTGCACCTTTGCTTTGATGTCTAGCAAAACCCTTTCTCTTTCCAAGTAATGTACCTTTTCTCAAACAACCGTGAGGAAACATTTGTTGAGCATTAACCCAAAATGTAGGGCTGCTGCTATCTAAGTTGTCAGCATTACTTAGAGTGTTTCATTTCTAGTAATAGACACACTTCATCTTACAAAGTTTGTAAGACTTGAGGAAACTACATATGCTCTGATTGAATCTTTTCTACAATATGTTTCTTTTGGCAAGAACAGATTACCCAAGAATACACGTTCCTGTTAGTTTGACCTAGTGTATATTTTAGTGAAATTACCCTTTCCAAGAAGTATCAGTAAGAACTGTATTTCTGCTAGAAATACTAGTGGCTGTGGTAGCAGTGCTAGAGACACAGACATCCAGCAGGAGCTATGGACTTAGAGCTTCACTTGATCTAGAGATAGATATGGAAAAAAGCCTTGTTGATTCTGTCTCAAGTTCTCAATTTGTTATAGCTGTGTCATGGTGTTTTGAAATATTCTGTATTTAATATGTGAGTGGCAGGTTAGAGTTCTGTGTTCCCAAGAGGCTTTCAAGCTGGAAGCAAGCAGTCCTTTATGACCAGAAGACTGTATATTCTATAAAAAGAAAACACAGCAAAATACAGTCAGCCGAGAGGAGTTTCAGGAACAGCAGAATTTCAGGTGACACACAGCATGCTATTTTACTATTTTTAATTGAGAGCTCCACTTAGCATGCCTTTTGTAATTCCACTGCTCCTGGAGCTGCAGGCTTTGTATCTCAGCCATAACCCTAAGGGTAACCCTAACCCCAAGTGGAGCAGTAAATGCAGTCTTTTGCTGAGGCTAAGGTTCCCAGCACATGGGTGGTGCCAAGGAAAATTATGTGGAGGGAGCAATGTTGTGGCAGTCCTGTGCTCCCCTTGGTCTGATACTTTCCATCTGAGACCTGCTGCTGAGATTTATAAATTAGAGCTTGTGAACAGCTGGTATAATTTAAACTGTGAGATCTGAGGATTGGAGGAACCAAGAAGTGCTAAAAATCCATCTATTTTCTTTCCCTATTTTGTTTGTTTGTTTGTTTGTTTATTGTTTAGCATTTTGGTTAGAGAGTCCTTGACACATTCATCTAGGAAGGGTAATGTTATGTGGTTCTGGAAGGAGGAGAGCTTCAGTTTACCTAAAATGTTGCAAGAGCTTGGGAAAAAAAAAAAAGAAAATAAAAGTGTTACTTCTGTAAGTAGAAGGGAAAAGTGTCACTTCTATAAGTAGAAGGAAAATGGGATTTTTTTTTTTCAGTGACCCCTTTTTTGTCATTGCTACAGTTATGATTCCACATTGGGATTAGACAAGAATTTGGATCAGTTGAAACAGGGAAGCTGTGAAGGTGGCAAGGGATATATGCCTGAACAGAAAGGGTACTTGGAGAGCACAAGTTGAGAGGCATGGTCTGCCTGTGACAGTTTGGCAGGATTATATATGAGTTCTAGGCTCACAGACTTTAAAAGACCTTAATGTTAGTTTATGGATAATATAGGGAAAATATAATTTGTCATTTTGATGATATTGCTAGGAAGAAGATAATGGAAGATACTCTAGTATTGTGATTGAAGATCAGGAGAACATAAAGAGCTGCAAGAAGGAAGACTTGAAAAAGCAAAAAAAAAAAAATCACCAAAACAACCCTCTAAAATAGATTAAAAAAAGAAAAATAAAGGAAGGGGAACTATGAGAGAATTTTGGTACTAGGAATTTACAGAATTAGGAGTCAGAAAGTGAAAGTACACAAAAGTTTAGAAGTTGGGAGAATTGCATTTCTCAGAAGGAAAATGAAAGGAGAAGCAGCTCTCTGCACAATAAATTTTAAAAATACTGAAATAATGCTTTATTTCAGTACTTCAAGGTACTGTGCAAATTAGAAGGTCCAGTACAGAGGCTGTGTAGAATTTTTAAATTATAAGAATTTGTTCTACTTTCAAAACCAGCACACTAAAGCATGAAAGGAAGAAAGAAAACTTAGAAGTGAAGCATGAGGTTCCCATGCTGACTACTATAGATACCTAAATCAAAGAAAACCATTAATTTTAGCTGATGCATATAAAAATAATATTTCAGTTTACATGGTTATCCAAAAATATTCTCAGCTACTTTGGTTTTAGTGACAGTGATTACTAATATGAAAACTTCTTTAATGTCTATCCTGTGGGTAGAAGGAAGTATGCAAATGTAATTAATTTCCAGAGAGGAAGAAAGATGACTAAAAAATAAAGCTATGGTTGATAGTTGACTATGTCTTCAATGAGACACTGACATCAAATTCTGGATCTCATCTTTGCTGCTTCCATCAGCTGCAAGATACATACCACTGTCTACTCTTTTGGTCTAAATGAGCAGCTTTTTGCTTCTGACAGGGTGCTTTGTTAGGCTGTTTGTCAAGGTGAAACACTTGTGGCTGGAAGTTTGTCTTGAAGCTGGGAGTTTGATGCATTACTAAAATGTTGGCATGTAGTCCTTCCTGTCAGGTAGCTCTGAGTACCATGGCACATGGGATATAAAGAGTTTTTTGTTTCCTACTGAACCAAAGTTGAGTAACATCCCACAGGAAATAAACATTCAATCCTCCTGGGGGCTGGGCAGCATCAGAGGTGGTTCTAGTCAGCCTCTGTCTCTGAAGAGCTGCTTGCTGACCTTCCCAAATGCTAAGCCTTCCCATGGTGGCAAATGGAAGTCAGTCCCCTTTCCCATCCCATCACCTGCCTCCCTGTTTGCCTTTGAACAGCTGTTGTACCCTTTTACAAGGTGGTGTAGGAAGGGTTTGGTTAACAGTGTTTAAATAAAGTGGGCAGGTGGGTAACTTAGAGAACAGCTTTATTTTTTTCTTTCTTTTTTTTTTTTTTTTTTAGTTTGCTTTGTTTAGTGGAGGTACTTTCTAATAGAGTCTTGCATTTATCTGAAATTATTGCTTGCTGACAAGAGTGGAGGAATGATAGAATGGTGCAGGATATATTTGTGCTCTCCTGTTGTGTTGGGTGTGGCTGGAAATAATCTGTGGATGGAAAACCAGGGTGTAGACCTGGTTTCTCCTAAAAGATGTATTGAACACAGCTGAGAGCAGGCACTGTGAATAAGGTAATGGGTGGATAGGTTGAAAATGAAGATAAAGCTACATGTTTCCTTCCTACATTGCATAGTTTTGTTGGGTTGTTTTACATGTTTTTGGGAATTCATTTGAATATTCTTCAATAAGATTTAGTGAAGTTTTCTGGGAGAAAAAGGAACTGCACCTCTATGTGTATATAGAATGTGCTTATATTTACCAAAATACCAGCACAGTTGATAACTCTTGTCTTTTTCTGGCAGCCCAGCTAAAGCCATTTTCCATGTTACCTTTCAGGCACATCCTGCTCTTTTCTATCTGATTTTTACACAAAGAAACTCTACCATATGCTGTTTAGACCTGTTACTCTGTGTCTGTGTGGTTGAATTGCTAAAAAAAGCCCCTTCCCAGAGACCTCCTGTGGTATTCATGCTTGCAAGTGATATTTTGGTACTGATGAGTGTGTATGACTTTGCATTTATCAGATTATGAATTCCTCTGCAACACTCAGCATTGGGTGCTAGCAGGGGTGGAAATGAAGGCAGAGTTTAGGCTCAAGAGGGGTGTTCCTGGCAGTAATGATCAGTGTGGAAATCCTTGAAATGAC